TCTGCGTCGTTGTCAGTCAGCCAAAAGGCTTAAACTCACCGATATCGAACTACTCGAACTTGCTCGACAACTGACGTTGCTTGAATCCGCGTTATATCAAAAGATCCGCCCTATGGAGTATCTGCAGTGTGCTAGAGAAGGTGTCGGCACCAAGGACAAAGACGGTGGATCTGGAGGTGGAATGGATAAGGAGTCGGTGAATAAATAACTGAAAGCGTGAAGTTTTCCAATTGTATGAATCCGACAATGACCAGGATTATCCCTTGTACACCGTATTGATGCTGATATCAGTGATATCCTGGTGATATCATTGTTGTTGATATATCTGGAGATATGTTGACCTCAGGGATGTATCCGATGTCAGGACGTCGGTGATGTCTCGACATCCCCGATATCGGGTACAAATAATCTGAGCAGAAAAACTTCAAAACTTACTTCATTAAACCTTGAATATTTCAGTCATTTTTCCACAGTATTGACTCAAATATGTCTTGATGATTATGTTAAATTACTCCTGCCTAATGTAGTTGAGTATATCCTTCATATTCACACCATAATTATTACAGCAAAAATCAGACAAAATAGGAGGAAGTTCGAAACATTGTCTTGAGTTAAGCTGAATGTCTTATGATCAGAATCTTCCTCATTATCTGTGAGGCAAATTTCAGGATATATTCCAAATAATCTGAGGTGAGAAATTTACAGATAAATGACAATATATGTCAAATATCCCTCTCATAATCGCACAATAGGACTTTGAGCTTAATTCATGGATTTTTCCAAACATTCAAGGCATTTAATCTTGTAGTAATCTGGCCTTGATTAATCCAAAAATTGATTGCAGTATATATTAAAATCATGTTTTCGAAATGCTTCCCAGTATTCAATGGTAATATTGACAAAAACTTTTTAATATCCTTTGGATTTAACTAGGAAATTGACAGTCAAAAATCTTTATCTAATCTACATGATATCTAGGAGATTTCCACGGCTGAAAAAGATGCCATCCCCCCAGTGATTGTTTATTATGTAAAACTTATGTGACAGGGTTGTCACATTTATCTTCAATAAGTTCTTTCCTAAGTCCGCAATCTTATTGGGCTTTCATTTTTCGACAGTATCTTATAAGTTTTCGCTAAACTGCGCAAACTTATTAGTCATTGCATGCAGTGTTAAAGTAAATTTTGACCAACAATAGCGTAACTGGCAAAAATTACGCTCCAATATTTTGGCGTTTATCTAAGGTAAGGTCACAGTAAAGAGCTGAACTTACGGTAGCATGCGCCCTGTGTAAGTTCGATAGAAAACATTCCAAGGTACAATGCATGACCTACCACTGTTAAGACTCGATATTAAACAAAACTTGTGTACATACTTTTTTTTGAATCTTAATCATCGCGCGCGCTCCTACTCCTTCTGCTCAACGCCCACACTGCCTGCGATCCTCCAAATCCTGCCCCCGCTTGTCAAACTCGGCTTCCAGAGCCTGACGCGTCCGTCTGAGCCAGATGATGAGAGGATGGTGCTACATGCACACAAGTCAATCAATGGAATTAAGCAGCAGGATTCCAGTACAACCCACCCAGTAACATTCCAGTCAACCTTGCCAACGACGCCGCCTTCCAACGGACCAATGCGGGCATGGTCGTCGAAATCGGCAACGAGCTGAGCAGACCACTTGTCTTTTTCGTCGACATCGCCGTCGATGACATCGAGCATCGGGGGATTAACTTTCCATATCCTCACATGGCCGTCTCTCCCGCCTGTAGCGATCAAATGATACGAGCGACCGCAGGAGGGGGCCCAGGCAACAGTAGTGATCGTCGTAGATGAAGGCGAGAGTTTTAGTTCGAGTACCGTTTGTGGGGAGGTGGATGGAGAGAATTGGATGATGCTCACGACATCAGTGGCGCCAGCGACAGCGGCGACGACCTGACCCCAATACCTGTCCTTGCACCAGGAGACTGCCCAGCCGCCTTGAACCTCCTGGACCTCCCTCGCGAGCTCTACGGCATCCGCCAAAGCCCAGACATCCAACTTTCCCAAATCCAAACACTCGTAAACCCTAAGCCAGCCATCTGTGGCCACGGTCGCGACCTTTAATCCAAACGCACTCGGTGCAAACTCGACCTGTCTGACACTGCCTCTCGCATCGAGCAAGACCGCCTTTTCCTCACCGCGCTCCCAGATCCTGACAGTCCTATCCATGCCTGCACTGGCGAGGACCTCACCAAACTCTGGATGAGCCCAGGCGACATGTGTAATAGGCGCATTGTGTGCTTTCCACTCGTATTTCAGGGATTGATCTGTGGTGGTGACCACTATCTTCTGGTCCAAGCCACAAGACGCGATGTTGGTGCCATAGAAATCATAGGCGAGACAAGTAAGGAGGTCAGAGTGTGCGCTGGTGATCAACCCAGTTTGAATCATAGCTAAGTCACACGAGTCACACGTCACAAGATGCTTCGTCGATGTGTAGTGCGATTTCCAGCGTTTGTTCGACGGTGAGTGACAATGACCAAAGTAGTAATGAAACTAATTTTTGTTTTAGGTACACAAATGAGGATATATTTGAACCATATCAGGAATACACGTCGCCGCGCCCGCCGCCGCCTCAGACGTCTTTGAAGACGCTGCACAACCTGCTGAAGACGCTGAGCCCATCGACGTACGGGACGACGCGGACACTGCTGCTAGACCTGCTCTCACCGTCAATCGCACTCCCCATCCCGCCATCCCCGCTGTTCCTCTCCGCCGCGCTGATGGCGTTCCACCCCTCCCTCTCCCTCTCCTCCAGCGCGCGAATCAGTGACTTTCAACTGTGGTTCAATTACTACCCCCCACTGCACCCCGCTCCGCTCTCTCTTCTACACACACACTTGAAATCCACACCCAAAACATCACTCGCGTTCTACACGACGCTCTCCGTCCTCCTCGCAGGCAAAGGCTACATCTCGTTCTCCAACAGACACCTGCTCCCGTCAATATCTAGATATTCTTCCTCTGGATTTGAGAAATACTACCGCGCCTACGAATCATCCATCGAATCCTACTTTTCCACACTCAAATCCCCAAGTGGGCTGCACAAAACGCTGACAATCACCCGCTCAATCGCAATCCGATTCCTGGCTGAAGCTGGTCACCTCGACCACGCTGTCTCGCTGTTATCCCCCAAGTACTCCCTTAACCCCTTAACCCACTCTATCCTGCTCTCCCGTCTGCTCGCATCCCCGCCATCCCCCACCCGCGATCTCCACATCTCCAAGCTGCGTGGTTTGACGAGAAACCCTCCCCGGTCAAAACCAATTTCAAGGGGCACCAACAATCTCCGCTCCCTCTCCCGCTCCCTCCTCTCCCCCGACCCTCGCAACTTTCCACCAACGCAGGACCTAGTCAACTTTTTCACTCTCTACATCTCCCTACGCGATGTACCAAGCTCACGCAATGCCATCACCCTCCTGCACACGCGCACCCTCCGTCTCTCCCCCATCCCTTTCCGCGCAATCTCCCACCTCCTCTTCGCACACATGGTTCTTCTCTTCCGTCTCGGTACCCGTGGTCTAGGCCCCTCGGCCCTCCGAGCCCTCCTCGATCTCTTCCTCCGGTTCTTCCACATCCACGGAGTTTCACCTTCTACTCTTCTCCAATACACCACCACCGACCCCTCCACCCACTTTTACCTCACAACCCTCGCTTCCCTCCCTCAACCCCTCCTACCAAAACTCTTTCCCTCCCGTCTCCACATCTCCCTAATCTGGCAATCCCTCGCTCACCTCGCGCCCTCCCACCACGCCCTCATCGAGCTTTACAACGAGCTCATCAGCCACGCCAGTCCCCAACCCCAACCCCAATCAACCAATCTCCAAACACCCCAATCATGGACCAGCCGCGGTCATCGTCTCCCTTCAAACAACACCCCCTACCCACCTCTCCAATGGCACTCCCACGCCCACCCCTCACCCATAATCGCAGAATGTTTCACTCCATTCATAATCAAACTCATGCACGCTTCTACTTATCCCACTTCACCCCTCCCATCCCCATCACCAACTCCAACCCCCACCTCCATCCTCCGCACCCTCCTCTCCCTCTCCCTCTCCCCAACAATCTACCACTACACCGAGATGGCCCGATGGTGGGCCTGGCAGGGCCACGAATCCAAAGTCTGGATAATCCTTGATCGCTTGGAGGGTCTGCATAAGGATCACCAAGTCCTCCATGCTATAACAACTTCCGAGGACGTAGAAAACCGTGAGTCGTTTCACTTTCTCTCTCTATCAAAGTATAACCTCTCGTATCCGCAGCTCCTCCTCTTCCCCCATCCTCAAACCCAAACCCAGACCCCAACTCCCTCCCACCCCCCGACCTCCCATTCTACATCGCTCTCATGCGCGCTTTTCTCTCTTCTCCCAACTACTCCGCTTCCTCTCCTTCCCCTGCCTCGTCTTCTACCCCCTCTTCCTCTTCTCCTTCATCTCCCCCCTCCTCCTTCCTTCCACCCTTCCCTCCCTCCTCCCCCTACCCCGGCACCCTCCGCCGCCTCTCCGCCCTCTCCCACCTTTGGACACACATGGAACTTCGTTTCGGGCGCGCGCATCTCCTGGAGCAGCTCGGTATCAGAATCGGGGGTACCCGTATTGAAACTGGGAGTACTCTTCGGAGGAGGAGCGACGGAGGTGGTGGCGGTGGGGGGAGTGATGATACTGTAGACGATAGCAAAGATGACGACGCTCCCACCTCCACCCCAAACCCCTACCTCCAAAAAGCCGTCTCAAACTGGCGTACATTAGCCGGTATACCATCCCCTCAAACCCGCACATAAAAATTAGATTCTATGTATATTATCAACTAGTCTCGTTAAACATCCAATATCATTAAACATTCATTCATATACAGCCATACAGCCATACACAGGTAAGACTACCCCGCCTACCTACTAACCTTCCTTCCCTTCCATGTGTCAGCACTATTCGTGGATACCAAGAATCTTTTAATTCAATTCCGATATGGTGTAGTGGCTAACATTATCGCCTCTCATCGAAACTCGAAACGCAAATGAAAGCGCGATAGCCCGGGGTTCGATTCCCCGTGTCGGAAATTCTGAGGGGAAAAACCCATTTACTTTTTTGTTCTCTCGCGCTATGCCAGAGTCTGCTATGCTAACCGTAGGTACGTTATATCCATATAAAATGCAAATCCAAATTCAGAGCACATCTACTGATATATATCAAAACCCCACCTCAGCTCCAACAAAGCAAGGCCAGACCCTCTCTCATTCATCTCATCAAAAAGGGTCACAACAAGACCCATTTGTCACAACACAAGTTACAACAACACCACAGTTATCAGTTATCAGTTCCAAGCCTCTGATGATGCACCATATATATATACTCTGTACCTATGTACTTATCATATCCATATACATATACATATACATATCCTGTATACAAAATTTCCATTATCCAACTCGGAATGAAAGGGTATGTGTAGCGAGAAAGAACAATAAGAGTGAGATTACAATAAACGGTGGATCTCGGGTTTCTGAGCGGCGAGGCGGGGCCCTGAGGCATGGACTTGACATTGACTCAAAATGACTTTCTAGAACTCAAGAATTATCAAATACACATTCTAGAACAAGATCATGCATTAGTCTAAAAAGACTGTAATTTAGTCTAATAGACCTATCAGGTTGCATGGTTGAGGAAAATGACTAGAAGAACTGTCAAGTCCATGCCTCGGGCCTCCATCTCGCCGCTCGGTATTCCGAAGATCTGCCTTTTATTGTAATCTCTCCTTATTGTTCTTTCTCGCTACACATACCCATTCATTCTAGTCCCTCCTTATTGTCTTTTACTTTACCCTGCAGGACTACACGTATAACTCCTAGTAGTTAGTCTGGCGCTCTGCTCCGCTCCGTAGATATAAATACTGCTTGTATGCTACTGTAGTTCCTCAGTTTAATTATCAACTTAGATTCCCTCCTTTACTCTGTGCTCCTCTAAGTCTTCAGGCTCACTGCCTTGAAGTACGTTCTACTCTACCTTAGGACTTAGACGTTCTTTGGTTCGCTCCTTGTCACTGGCGTTCCCGCCGCTCCAACTTGGCTGCTACTCAGCTCCTCCCTTCTATACTCTTGATCTCCGGGGACTAACGGCATAACAGCGGTGTTGTTAATAACTTCACTACTGTCCCACTCGTCTTCCGCTCTTAGACACTCTGTGACCTCTGGCACGGTTACACAGTGTGCATGATCTTAACAAGAACGATCAAAGTACTGCGAGGCTCCGAAGACATATCAAATGAATGTCAAAGAGTCCTGATGTAGAAAATATTGAAGAATGCAATTAAATGAATACTATGTGTAACTCCCTTGATATAGTATAGGCACAATGGGTCTATTGAAAGAGAGAAGCAATTAGTTTAATCCAGATGAATCAGATTGATAGGATTAGAATCAAGGAGAGCAGAATTGCCTCTGGATGAGGTGACAAATGATCGAAGTAAGTGTTGAACAGCAATGACAGCTGAACACCATTCGAGTCATTCTCCAAAACAATTAAATTAAATGAATACTGAAGTACCTACCTATGTTTGGAGGTATACTAAAATCCTGGAACCATTATGGACCAAATACGGACATGTAGATTCAAATTAAATGATATCCGACCAAATGCAGAAGTTTCCTTATGGTTCCAAACGTTTATTGTATTAAATTAATTGTACTGTGTGACTCTATATCCTGTATGTATAAATAGTGATCCGATGTATCTGGAATACAAGTGATTTTGGGATGACATTGCAGTGCTAATCCGTAAAAAGGAAAGACACACTCCCGCCAGACTGAAACCTCTTTGCTAGCAGCCATTCGGGCCCGGCACTTGTGAGTATAGGAACATTGTGTTCTGCTCCTTGTGACTGCAAGAAGTTATATCCAGCTGTTGGGTATTCTTTGAACTTAGGATCAGTTGTTGGTCTTAAGGGCAAATCACGCTGTGTGGTTGTGCCAGCACATAGTTCTAGCCCTCCGTAGGGGTTTGTGTGTTTCGGTTTTAATTTACTTTGATTCAAACCCCCAATTCTTGATATACCCATATCAATACAATCAAAGCACAAATTGTGCTGAACCTACCTTGATCAAAGGAATATATTGAATCCTTAGAACGATTCAAATTGATTAATCGAAGCTTCGTACTTAGCTCTCAAAGCTTTGTGGAACCTTTGCCAATGCTACCCCTTGCTATTAAATAAATTTGATAGCAGTGAACTCGCATATTGTGTATTAGATTGGTTGGTTGGAGTGCCCATTAGATTCCTTCCTTTCTCTTTCACACAAAAATGAGGGAAGCTTGTTAACGTATAGCTCCTAGTAGTTAGTTTAGTGCTCCGCACCAATGCGCCGCTCCGTAGATATAAATACTGCCTGTACACTACTGTAGTTCCTTAGTTTAATTATCATCTTAGATCAACTTAGATTTCTCTTCCTCTCCCAGTCCATCTCTTAAGTCTTCAGGCTCAATACCTCGAAGCTCTCTCTATAGCCTTTGGACTTATAAGTTCTCTGGCTCGCTCCTCGTCACCGGCGTTACCACCGCTCCGACTTGGCTGCTACTAGGCTCTCTCCTCTATACTCTCGATCTCCGGGGACTAGCGGCGTAACAGTGGTGTTGTTAATAACTTCACTACTGTCCCACTTGACTTCCGCACTTAGACACCTTGTGACCTCTGGCACGGTTACACAGTGTTGTTAATAACTTCACTACTGTCCCATTCGACCCTCTGCACTTAGACACCTTGTGGCCTCTGGCACGGTTACACGGTGTACATGATCTTAACACCAACTCAGATCATCCTCTTCAACTCTTCAGGCTCGTTGCCTAGAAGTACTCTCAGGACTTACAAGTTCTTTGGTTTGCTCCTCATTGCCAGCAATACTGCCACTCCAACTTGGTTGCTCCTGGTTTCCTCCTTCTCTACTCTTGATCTCCAGGGACTAGCGGTGTAACAGTGGTGTTGTTAATAACTTCACTACTGTCCCATTCGACCCTCTGCTCTTAGACACTTTGTGGCCCCTGGCACGGCTTCACAGTGTACATGATCTTAACATCTTGACTCTATCTGCAAAACCTGTAATTTTTGGTTAAATAGTTGAAAGCTGTTAGGATAAATTGATCTCAGTTGATATTGTAACAACTGTATAGTAATCTACATCTGCAAAACCTGGATATTTGGCTAAGCTCTGAGAGCAGATCCCAGCAGATCCCAGTGCTGAAAGTGCTTTCAGTGCTCTCAACTGCTTTCAGAGCCTTAGCTGAAAATACAGGTTTTGCAGATGTACCTGTTAGGATAAATTGATCTAATATAAGTTAGTGTCAATATAGTGGATATATATGTCTAGTAGGCTCACCTCAGTTGATATTGTAACAACTGAGGTGAGTCAACGCCGCCAACTGTGGAATCTATCTAGAACTGTATAGTAGGCCCCCAGAATCTCCTGCAGAACCTCACCCGAAATAGCGTCATTTTGGACCCGATTTTGGTGATTTCCTGGTCCTAAAATAGCGTCATTTTCGGTCAAAATCCTGAGTCCTTGTCCGTTTATAGCGTCATTTGAGTCGGCAGGAGTCGGCGCACTAGCACCAAAGCCAAAATTTTTTGAGCACTGGAAAAAGAACATCAACATTTGAATTTTAAAGGAAATTTTTGAAAAAAATTTTGATTTCACGTGACGATCCTGGTCCGAAATAGCGTCAATCATGGCAAAATCGTAGCGTCAATTAGGGCGTCAGGCCGGGCGGGGTTCTGCAGGAGATTCTGGGGGCCTTGTATAGTAAGTATCAAGTAATAATGCGGTCTCTCAGTTATACAGTCCCCGAGAGGCAGTTAGTATGTACAGGGCAAGAGTGATGCATATGGAGTACTTCCCCAACAAAAGCAGCTAATGCACCCAGACTCTGGCAAAGACTAAAGCCTGCTCTGGGTGCTTTCATTGCTGGTAAGTGTCCTTGTGTTGGTGAGTATACATTTTTCGCAGACTGATTCAACATAGTGGCTAATATTATTGCCTCCCATGTTCTGTTTTGAGTGTCGATCCGCGCAATAGCCCGGGGTTCAATTCCCCAATCGAAATATACAAATTTCATACACATCTCCTTTTTTGTTACTCCCAGTTAGTCAGGTAAAATTTTGATACATAAGTTCCTTTTGCTCCCCAATATTATTACAGGTGCACAAGAACACATTAAAAAAACATTGAAAACATTCAATATATCTTATGTCCGTCTGTCTAGTCATCAGACTGCGGCCTCCGGACTTTATGTTTCTGTTTCCACAATTCGTGCTGCTTCCACAATTCGTGCTGCTTCCAAAGCTTCTTTAATACATAAAAATACTCTCATGACCCTAAAACATACGTTACTTTCGAAGCCAGCCAAGCAATGCTAGCACTAGCCCTTCGCAACACATTCACCTTCTTCCCTTCCCTTCCCCAATGTTCTCCCCCTTCCTCGTATACCTCACTTTCCTCACTCTACTAGCTCAAGGTGCCCAAGGCTCAATTTTACGGTCCCAAGCAGACCTAAAGAGGGACTATGACTTCATCATCGTCGGAGGTAAGAAAAGAAAAAAAGCACTTTCATTTATTTCCCCCAGTTTTACCCCATGCTCGTCTTACTTACACCCCTCTGCTCAGCCGGTCCAGGAGGAAGTGCAGTATCAAATAGACTCACAGAGGACCCCAATGTATCTGTTCTTATACTCGAAGCAGGTGGAGCGTAAGCCCAAATCCACGATTATCCCCATCCATTCCATCTCAAATGTTCCTGGCATCTGCCATCTCCAGCAACAACGACAGCCTAACCATCGACGTCCCTCTCCTCTGCACCAAACTAACCCCAAACACCCAATGGGACTGGAACTACACCACAACACCCCAACCCAACTTGAATAATCGCGTCTTGCCTTTTCCAAGAGGTATAGGTTTGGGTGGGACGAGCGCAGTTAGTAAGTATGTTGTCGTAGTAAAAAAATCGTGTTCTCTTTCCCTCCTATCTCATTCCTGGCCCCTGGTTCCCGTTTTCCTATATTATTAATATCCTTTTAACCCCGCCCCAACGACGATTTCCCGATATTCCCTAGTAACCCCGATTTTTTTCCTTCCCATTTCCTTCTCCGAGTCTTCATCACTCATCATAATATTATCTATAACAAGACTGTCTCGTCTACACTCGAGGATCAAAACAAAACATCGACAAATGGGCTGAACTCACGAACGATTCAAGCTGGGGATGGGATCGGATGCTTCCGTATTTCAAAAAAGTTTGTTCTTCTGATTTTGGTACTTTCTATCCTTCCTCAAACTCTAGACCACAGAGTGAAAAATTCAACCTCCCCGTCGACGGACATAACATCACCAACCAATTCAACCCTTCGTTCCACGGTTTCGATGGGCACATTGGCGTCAGCGTTCCAGGGGCAGGACGCGCTATCGATGGTAGAGTCATCCAGACTACCCAAGAGCTTCCGGATGAATTTCCGTTCACCACCGATGTGAATACTGGCGATCAGCTGGGTGTGGGTATGTAATAACTTGAACTTGAACATATTGCGAACTCGCATTCACTTTCTCACCTTCCCGGGTCCCCTCCTATTACAACAAAAAAAAACTTGAAGGCTGGGTTCAAGCCCTCATAGACCGAGGTGTCCGTTCAAGCTCTGCGTCTTACTTTACACCCCAGGTGCTAGCCCGAGAAAACCTTGATATCTTACTAAATACCAGGGTATCGAGAATCCTACCATCGTCCAACAACTCCTTCAACGTGATAGAATATCTCGACTCTATCTCCGGTGCGGTTTTTCGAGCTCCAATCATATCTACGTTTGATTGAAAATCTTTTTCTTTTATTATCGAAACTACATTAATATGTATAGGCACCCTCAAAAACCTCACCGCATCCAAGGAAGTCATCCTCTCTGCCGGCGCAATAGGCACCCCCAGCATCCTACTCCATTCCGGAATCGGCAACGCCACAATCCTCACCTCCCTAGGAATCACCCCCCTAATCAACCTACCCTCTGTCGGTCAAAACCTCACAGACCACATCGGTGTCTCCTCCACATGGCTCGTAAACTCCACCCTCACATACGACACCGTCCTACGTAACGCGACTCTGGGAGAAACCCTCCTGCGACAATGGCAGGACTCGAAAACCGGGATCAACGTCGATACTTCCGAGAACCATCTAGCGTTCCTTCGACTTCCGGAGAACTCGACTGTGCTTCAAACATTTGGAGATCCAGCAGCGGGGAATGAGACGGCGCATTTTGAGTTTTTGTTCCAAGTAGGCGTCGCGTCCCTTTTATACATACCAGTTTCTGACTTTTCCTCTTCGTAGAACGGTCTGAGTCAAATAACAGCTTCCGGGAACTACCTGAACATCCCATCAGGGAACGTATCCCCAAAATCATGTCAGTCGAAGTTCAAAATCATACCTCCAACCCATACTCATATAACTCCATAGCCGGCTCCGTTACCATCAACTCCACAAATCCCTTCGACGCGCCTCTCATCGATCCCGGCCTTCTCTCAGCCGAAGTCGACATCCACATCCTGCGCGAAGCCATACGCACTGCGCACAAATTCGTCGAAGCCGCCGCATGGTCCGATTACATCCTCCAAGACCTCACAAACGCCACCACAGACGCCGAGATCGACGAATTCATCCGTAACAACGCAGTCAGCTTCTTCCATCCAGTGAAAACATCCGCCATGTCCCCTTTCGGCACCACGGATTGGGGTGTAGTGGATCCTGATTTGAGAGTGAAGGGGGTGAATGGGCTGAGAATCGTTGATGCTAGTGTTGCGGTGTGTGGTCAATGTTATCCGGATATTTTTGACTGCTCATGCAATTATATTCCAACAGCCCAGTTTGCCTGCAGCACATACTTCAGCGGCTGTCTACGCCATTGCAGAACATGCTGCCGATATCATCAAGTCTGCATATGGGTTTTCGTGAAGGACTCGGGAGTTGGACTGAAGAATAAATAGTTCCATGCAGTAGCAATGCTGAAACTTTATGATTGGTTTACCTGCTATTACTCGTCTAGCGATACGTGGGGCTTAAATAAATAAAGAGCCCGAACATAGATCGCGCCTGTGTGAGATAAGTGTAACAATACTGTACAGTGGTGAAGGAGAGTCCAAGTTTATACGAAATACGGCATATTCTGTGAACAGTGTGAGTTAAAGGTATTCAATATCATATCATATCTGTTAGATTGACTTACCATTCTTCTCGTCTGCATGCCTTTATCCCTCGCATTCTCTTCCGCAGGGCCATAGACCTCAAATGTCCTCTCCCCAGACTCATGCACCGTCATGATCGACGCAAGATTTCCGCACCGATAACAGTAATTTGGCGCGCTCCATACAGTTACTAACTGTTCGTCAAACATATACTTGAACCCCTCCTGGACGAGCTGATGCGCCCGAGCAATCAGCGAAAGTCCATTGACGTGGTTGAACTAGATTGAAGGAGAACACGTCAGCCCAGACCATGCTCAAACAACCCCGGGCTACCACACCTCTCTAGTCACTCCTCCACCGAACAACCAGCCCGCACCTCTGGGACTCACTGCCCAATTCTCCATCAACTCCTCCGGATCGCTCCACATCAAATCGCAGAACGGTCCTTCATGAGGAATCTCCTGCGCCCGACTCAGCACTCTAATTTGATCTAGGGTTCTAATATCCGGGCTGAGTCCTCCATGCACGCAAAGTGTTGTCCCATCAATAATGGCAGCCAGGTTCAGGTAATCGAAAACGCTACAACATGCTTTCCACACCGTCGCTGAACCGTATTTCTGTTGACACTCGTCGTAAAATCCGTACACCTGCGTTATCTGCCGCGATTCGTGGTTTCCCCTAAGTAGAGTCACCTTATCCGGCCAATGCGCCTTGAGCACGAGGAGCATCGAGACGGTTTCCAAAGAATAATGCCCTCTATCCACGAAGTCACCCTGTACAGAGACAGATAATTCGCAATTGTAGCCTTGTCATTCCATCTAAGAGTAGGATACCTACTTGCCATGAAAATATAACTTGTCTCCGGAACATCTCCTCCTTTCCTAAGCAACTCCAACAAATCCCAAAATTGACCATGGATATCCCCACAAATCGTGACCGGACTGCATACTGGTCGGATTGTCGATTCTTCCATCAGCAGGCTCCGGACTCTATCACACAGCGTTTTCATTGATTCTTCCGGCAAGTGCTGGCATTGTCGTAGTTGTTCTATCCATTTCTCGGGGTTGAATGGGGCCATTAGGCGGGAGGAGTAAAGAGAGAGATATACTTAGACGCCCAACATTGTTTGGTGTTGACGAGAAAAACAAACAACGCACTTCCCGAAATTTCTGACACTGACAGTGACCACATTAAGAGGGTACTTTCTTCACCCTTTCTTCCATGCCTCTCGCACGGCCTACGCGCTTTGGTAAACCGCCCCCAATCCGTAAACGTCTCCCGGCAGACACACGACGAAAACTTCCCCGACCCCCAGTAAACCTCCGCGTGCGCGAATATGCACCATGTCGACTATCCGACCACTACCATACCACGCTCTCCGACAACCTCATGTACATGAACTACTCCCACATCCTCCAATCCGACCTCCCACCAAAACCACCACGTGAAATACGTCTACGGTGGGACCCATCCAATCCATACGCCAAATACCGCAAAAACCACCCAGTCGGTGGAACTCAATGGTCTAAAATTCCTCCAGAACCGAGCACGCCAGCGAACATCACCCGTCTTGAAGCTGTCCAGATCCACATCATGTCTAAAGACGCTCTGACATCCCGGTCCAACCTCCTCGGTGTCATTGCCGCCCTCCGCGCTCTCAGCGGTGAAACCGAAGCCGGAGGCGGGGCCTTAGCCAAAGGCGTCAAAGGCGTCGAAATTGTCCTCGGTAAAAAGCAAGTTGGTGGGTGGATCCGCGCGGGTATGCCTGCTGGTGCCAAAGTTACTCTCAAAGGCTCCGCTATGTACGACCTCATCGCGACTCTCGCTGAATTCGTTTTACCGCGTTTGCGTGAATTCCACGGTATCCCGATGCCTGCTGCAGTGAGCAGCTACACGTCGTATCTTCCTGCGTCGAGTAACGCTGTCAAGGCAAGCGATGTTGCGGGTGTTGTGAGCTTCGGGTTACCAGCAGCTGCGATGGGTTTCTGGCCCCAGATCGAGGTGAACCAAGATGCGTATCCGAAAATGTATGGTATGCATATCCACTTCATCACTAATGCTGTTGGAGTGGGTGCGCAGGAGAGGGCAAGGGCTTTAGTTAGTGGGTTTCAAATTCCATTTGTGAGGAAAAGTTCATAGGAGCTATACCAACACATGAATATATCTCACTGAGCTGCAATGATGTTGAATATGCATTTTTGATAATGACGTTATACATATGTCGGAGGTCGACTCAATCTCAGACTGTTTTGAAGCAAAAATAAAATACATGCCTGCAACCACAGTCAAGGTCTAACGAGGACTCGAACCTGGGTCATGGGAAGCTGAAGACTCAGAATCCCATGTGATAACCTCTACACTATTAGACCAACGCACCAGAGAACGGAATATTGTGAGAGAACATGTTTCATAACCACAACAACGCTGATGCTTCCGAAGTAATGCTGAAATTACACTCATACATAAACAATTTTACTGTGTTTGAGCACCATAGCCTCTGATACCCTCTGCAAATGACCAGTGAGTGTCGGCACTGCGAGACTCTGAAACGGAAACTCCATCTGCAGTAATCTTCGCTATTTGATACTGGATAAGAGGTGCATCAGCCAATTTGATGTTATACAAAAGGTTCAAAGACAAACCTTGTTCAAACTACGCGCATCACGGTAGAACAGAACCTTCATGCTTTGTTCAAGAATCCTAACAGCTTCATCCTCCGTAATCACGTCCTCGTTGCCCTCTACAGCCTTACGGAGAAGAGGCTGGGCAATGTATGACCCATATCCGGTAGCCAACGTCGATGCAGAGTAAGTCGTGCCGAGGAGATCAACATACGATAGGAATCTGAATCAAACGAATAATCAGAATCCTTCGTTGACAAACAGAAAAGCCCGTAAATCCATAAATCCATTACCTCTTGCCATCCTTAAATCCTCCAACAATCAACGAGTTCCATAACGGATTCATCTTTGACCTCCGCGAATACATCACATGCGAGAGGTACTCGTGAATCTCACTCGGACCAAGCGAATGTCCATCTTGCTGTGTGAATTCTTCAACCATAAGTTCATCGAGCAAACCCTGGATATACTGAAAGTCGGACATGTCTCCACCTGCACCAATCACAGTGTTGGTGCCAACAGGATGTAGACGTTGGATGTCCTTGAATCGAGCAAGGGAGCCATAAGAAGCTAAGAGGAGCATATGATGAATTGGAGTGAATAATAGGAACCTCAAGATCCTAGCATGTCTCCGTACCCAAATTGTCGGCAGACATCATGATACCATCCTTATACTTGATAGCAAGAACACTGGTACCAGTGACAATGGGCTGTCTGCGCGAACCAAATCTTAGGTCAGCATTTCCGCAGTTTATATCTACACGTCGGACACTGACTGTGTGTGCTGGATTCCTTCTGAAAATGCATCGGTTGTCGGTCCATTATATGGTCTTTGAGCAATCGGATACGTTCCGTACGCATCGAAAGCGTCGTTTCGCTGGGAGCGCAAACGAGGTGAGTGGGGATGAATATAAGATCTTAAATCAAGCACGTACCGGGCGACCCCAGTTTGTAGGAAAATGATCCATTGTAGTTCAAGAGAGAGAAACTGTTGACGCGCAAGCTCAACGCGTATGCATTATGTCAGCACCTTTTGACCGGCCCGTCTCCCATAACTTGAGGCTTCGATATTATCGATTCAACCCCCGCTGCTGTCTTACTTATCATCTACAGTACATGCACTCTACTTGCTTCTGTTGGGGCGAACTCTGTACGTACATACAGCTTTGGCCGTCCCATTCCATACACGCCGTTTCCAATACGCCATTTAAAATTACTAGATACTGTACAGTTATAAGTAGATCACGCAGGCGGAGTACACGAGCTCCCTCAGTTGCTTTTGTATCAACTGAGCTTAATCTTACGCTAACAGCTTCCCCCGATTGAGCAAGTTGTGGATCTTTCTTTGTGCTTTATAGATTTTCCTGAAGGATTAGTCCAGAATTTACGAAAAGAAGAAAAAGTTCGTTCCCTCATCTGAAAATTTTCCGTTACCCACTGATCATTGCAGAAGAATGCTCGGGCAGAGCATCTGCCCTAGCTAGTTAAGGAGAAATGGAGCACGATAATTAGGTAGGCAACTAGTATTAGTTGTATCGTATCAAGATGCGATATATTCAAGTATTTTAAGACCGCACTGTGTTACCGTAGCTCTCCGACGGGGTATCATACTCTCGTTGAAATATATCATCCTTGTTGCTTTCCAAATATCTAAGAAGGATAGCATTGTCAACAAACCAACCACTTTCGACATGGTAAATATCATACCTTAACAGCTCATTAACATACTCTTTCACCAGCGATATCGATTCTGCGTCCATCTGCGAATTGGCAACCATTTGCGGTAGTGATACTACGCAAAGTTAGGGTCAGCTCGAGATGCGAATATAATGTACTTTTCGTATACCTAACATTCGCAACAGATGTTCCCCTCCGTAGATTGAGGACATTTCAATATCCGAAGACTCCTCTATTTTGACCTACATGCCAAAAATAGAAAATGTCAATGCACGAAGCGTTAAAACCAAGATTAGGGGAACTGACCTGTGGACCAGTTATGTACTTTTTTCGAACTTCCGCATATTGGTGTCTCTCAAACCGGTAGAGTAGCGACATACCGCACGACCGGTCGAAGTATATTTGGAGTCCGGAACATATTGTGTGCGTCAAAAGTGCAGGGGTAGGGAGACTACAGATCCACGACCGTAAGTTCGAAAATCACAGTCGACAGAGTACATCTAATCACCTCGTCGTAGTCGATTTGACGTGATCTTCGAATTGATTGAGGATTTGACGTACAGTTGGCGACCGCGGCAGAGTAACAAGCTGGTGATTTTTGGTGACAGCCTCCCAATCATCCACGAGAAAAACTTTGAGAACTTCTGGCACATTGAGTTTCATCTCTGCACGGCGAGCATTGTGACCGTCATCTTCTTCTCGAGTCCTCTTTGTCCCTCTTGTGCCTTCTTTTCGTATCCCCGAGCGCGTGCTGCCTCCAGCAGAAGCGGATGATCCAGCAGGATTACCAAGTGTCGCTATGAGTACAAGTCATTGAACGCAGTCAGGTATCAGTGTTGAGAACGTACTTTTGCCACTCATTTCTTTCATTTTCCCCGCAGCAGCATTGGCACCAGCATGTTGGGCGGCCAACGCTGATTGAGACAATGCCTTCTGCTTTGCAATCCCAGCTTCGTCAAGTTTAAGGATGCGTTGTTCCGTTACCCATTCGTCCCAACTGATTGCCTGGGTCAGATGTAGAGACTATGTCCAATACAAGATCTACTTGCGTCTGCTTCCATCCTTTGTAATGAACCAAAAAATTTGGACCAATTTCGCCGTTTTCCGTATCTTCTGGTGTAAAGTTGCGTATTTTGAGGATTTTCGCTGCAGGACAATTAGATACCGTAAGCTTTGCTGTAAAGAAGACCTCAAGTACCTTCGTATATAAGTGGCCCATGATAGCATAGACACTTTTCGTTGATCTTCCATTGAAGATGAGTTGCTGGCGAGACTAGTGTTGATAGAGTGCCCTTGGAAGTTACCGTTTTGGTAATATTAGACTTGCTTGCACCAGCAGTTGAAGTAGAAGGATCAGCTATTGGATCTATGGACATTGCAATGTCTTATAAAAGTTAAGGAAGAGAAGCTCGTGGGAGTCGAAAGAACGTCCTTTCAACGTGTATAGTCACTATACTAAGTATGTATGATAATTTCTAGTTCACCAAAGGACTCGGGAACGTTATTTTACCCTTGACAATGACTGGAATTTGGACAACCACCAATCGATTTTGGAACTCCTGAATACATATAGATATTTCGCGGTAGATCATGTTATGTTCATGTTCCTCCTGCACTACTGTTCCTTCTTTTCTTTATCCAAGGCTTTGTTTTCTACTTCAATCGCTTGGACTTCCAACCGTTTAGCGTAAACTTGACCGGCCTAGTGGATATAGAGTGTTAGGTTATGCGAATAAAGTAAAGGACGGAAACATACTTGAAGCGTAAGTATCAATCCCAAACATATCATGATGATGACATTCGCTGCTGCAAGTACTCGGACAGCTTCTATCCTGTCTGAATATGTATCCTCTTCCAGCGGAATGGCCACAGTTTTTAATGTTGGGCAGATGACAGCCGTATACACCGCGATGGCAAACACATAGACACCTGAGAACCGAATTCAAGATAGATCTTGTGTAACAGGTGTGCCACGAACCAAGACTAGATCCGTCAAAGAACATAGCACTATCGTCCCATTTGTGCAATTTGCCGACCAGTCCCAGCACTCCTACACCAATCATTCCATGCAACAACGCCTAAAACCTATCAGTTCGTGATCTCCTAGAGTTATCGCCTCAGACCGACCTTGATAGCAGGTGGGGAATTGAAAAAAGTGGTGTAGAAACTGAATCCATCCGCAATTACAGTTTCAGTAAGTTCTCCCCAGAGAAGCTTGTGATCCACGTTGAAACATATGAACAGGATCCCTGTTGAGACTGAGTATGAGGTTTGTACTCTGAAAAGAAGGCTCACCCAGAAAGAACGACACTGGTGCAAGAACGGCAGCCTGCTTGAACGTCATGATGGGAAACGAGAGAACTGAGATTTTTTTTGCCAGTAGCAAGTTGACATTCGAACTGATCGACTCAGCACTGCCAGCAAGACCAGTCAAAGCGGTGCAATCAGGGTGCGATTGAGAGGACAAGTTATAGGAAGTTTCTCTTTCAGGATATACATACTAGGTATGTCGACAGGTGGTATATAGTTTGGGTCTGTCTCTAGAGAATACAGTCAATGCAAATGCAATGTCCGATAAGCAGTACGACAAAAGAGAAAATAAAGAGACGTTCAGTTAAATATGATACAGTATATATAATATGAACAATACAGAATGCTCTTCAAAAAAAACATACGAGAACAACACGAGAAAGGCAAAGACGTGATCAAGAAATCATTGCGTAGGCAAAGGAGAAGGAGATGCCGAGTGGCCACCAGGGGAAGGTGGTGGTCGAGGAGAAGTCGGCAAACCCATCATTCGCGAATATCGATGACCCCGGTCAGAAACGGAGATGTTAAGTCCGCGCCCAGCTGCAAGGTTTGAAGCGCGTCCATTTTTGCTATGGGCCAAGGGTGTGTCCGGGGGCGTGAGATCTTGTTGTGTTCCCCCAACAGGACTGTCTGGCGAGGATTCGATTGTCACTTCCGGTTCCGTACCACTGTCTTCATTGATTGAATACTCATCGGTATCAGACTGAGTCTCTTCAGCAGGAGCTATGAGATTGTGGCATGAGTAATGGGGCAGGTTCGAG